AATTGAACCTTTATGACGGGAAAAAAATCCAAAAAACACTATCTTACTATGTCTAAAATTGACTTTACATTCAAAGGTGTGACAGCATTATTCATGCTATCATTTCATATTTTAACAGAGAGAGACAGTTGAAAATTTCAACCAAATTACAGCAAATAGAAACAGCAAGCTGCAGCGCATATCCTGATCTGAGTGCAATTACTTTGTTGTTCGGTATATATGATGGTGATGGATGTAAGAATTGGATGGGTCAAACAAGGTAGCCATATATTTCAGGTGGAGCTTGTTATCTAGCACTGTTTTTAGGCTAATACATTCTGCACAAACTATAGTAACAAAACAGGACTAAATCTACTAACAATCAACTTCTCAATCACTGCACAATATTTCTAAGCCCCATTTAGAAGCAATTTTTAGTTCCCAATTATTTCTCTAACATCTGCCTGAATTGTTGCAAGCATGGCATGCCAAGAGGAAGGACTGGGAAGTAAATTTTAATTCGTGTGGTAATTGCCAGGTGAGGCATAGATTTTATTTTATTACCCTTTAATTGCATATTTTTATTTATTTATTTTGTCAACTGTTATAATGTTATGCATTTTCTCATAAGTCCAACTGATGAAGTTTTTGTTCCTTGTTATTTGAAATTCAGAGGTTTGAAATAAGATTTTACCTTCAAAGCATTCAAAACAAGCAAGGGGCAATGGCACCAGTCCAGGGCTCTGAAAATAAAGAACTAATTAATGGTTTGTAATCTTTTCAATGATTTTTATAATGATTTTTTTTTTGATTTGATATGCACAATTTTCCTTATTGTTTCATATTATTGGAGATTTATGATGTAGTTACAAAATGGGGAAGAGGAAGATGCAAGTCATGTGAAGGTACATGCTTTATTAGTTAACTCAAAGCGCTGGCTTGACCGCCCCTAATTGTGTAGCTGTTTTAGGGTGAAAAAGGTTTTAACATGTGTTCAATATATGCAAAATGCAGAATTCATCATATGGACTGTTGAGTGTTGACAAGAATTTGTTTAGGAAGCAGAATCTTTGCTGCTGAAAAACAAAGTGAGCTACCATGTCTTAAATATATATTAATCAAAATAAATATTAAATATGTTAAA